GCTCCTCAGTCCATGTGTCCCTCATCTGAAAGCAGCATGTGTACAGCTTCTTTTGAGACCCTTACAAGCTATTCCACATTCAAGTGCAAATACTTAATAACCAAAGCTTAAGGATCATATGATTCTTTAGACAGTAAATCTGGTGGTTCAGAGTTGTACACATATTTGGCAGATAATAGGTTTACCACTGGCAGATAATCTTTTAAAGAACAGTGGCTTTACTCCTTTTGTTAACTAATTAAAAAAGGAGAAAGAACTTCAAGCTATAATTAGACCTCTTAAAACACATATTACTCCCTGAATGGTCTATACAACTAGGATAAATGTATAATTAGGAGGTTTCACCAAACATGATTAAAGCCAGTCATGTGTCCTAGGCCATCAAAAGCATGAAGGTGTGAATAGAAACCACATCATACATTTTATCTGTTGGACCTGATGTTCTTAGAGATCTTTTCTACCCTAAACAATTCAATGGTTTTGTATTATAAATACTTAACTCCAACCATGAAAACTTCTTTCAGATGTAAATTCTGGAAGGATTGCCACATCCATAGCTTTTAGTGTTTGGTGACACTGGTGACAGTAATGAGACCAGGTCCTTGGACCCCATGATCTGTCACTCTTGTTGTCCATGGCTTGCTGATAGTTTAAGAAATGTAGAAGTTGGTAGGGGGAGTTTTCTATTCCTTACTGGCACATCCCCAAGGCGTAAGGATTTGTATCCCTTCTGAAACACACTTCTATTTTGGGGAATTTGGTTTCTTTTGCTTTGTGGCTAGGGGGTGTTTTTCCTTCTATATATTTATGAGATGGGAAGAAGAGAGCACATCCATTGACCCTTTGTACCTCCCACTCATAATTATGAGTGCTTCCTCCATGCATTGATTTCTGGTGATGTCATCTCTTGAAGGGAAATTCCCAGGAAGGCTGTGGCAGTTCTGGGTCTCTGCAGCCACCATTCTTTCCATATATTGATGGTTTATTGTGTGCTGGAATCTTCCCTGGCTTGTGTCCCACCAGCCACACAAGCTGGAGAAGGGCTGGAAGCCCTTTTGCGTCCTGAATTGCTCCTGGAACTCGTAGCAGTGACTCTGTGTGGCTCAGGTGTCCCTTTGCAGTGGCACATCCAGGCTGGTGCCCTGGTGCAGTGCTGCTCCATGGCTGGGGAATCTCAGCTGCACTTTGGGAGGATGCACAGGCAAGGAGGGGCATTGAGGCTATGCACTCACCCCAAAAAACCCAGGAGATGCTGGCAGCTGTCATGGAGGTGCACACAGTCTCTGGTATGACTGCTTTCCAAAACTGAAGACAAATTAATTGTTTGCCCTAACAGCGCCTTGTTTCAAAAAACTTCATTTTAGGAAATATTGCTAAGTGTTGAAGTTGCTGGGCTTAACCTATGGGGAAGGAATTGGTTCAGGTCCTGAAAGCTGACTCAGATATTTTAAATTTTCCTGCCAGAAACCTACTTGCACAGATGAACAAATTACAGCAGAGTTACCAAGTCATATAGAAAGGAACGAGCTTCTTCAATATATATCAATTTCTGCTTGGGGAACAGTGAAATTCAGTTAAAGTCTGAGCTGCCTGTTCTGCTTTTGAGCACTGACAGAATTGAGCTGGTGTCAGCCCTTTTTCTCTCATTAAACTCCTGAGAACCTTGAGGCAGGACATAAATGGAAAAGCAGTGGGGGGAAAATCCAGTGCAGAGGAAATGGCAGAGGTGTCCTGCTACAGCTGTGGAGAACAGAATTGTCCTCAGCGTGTGGAATATCTGACTTTGCCATTTGTTTGTGCAGGTTGTCATGTCCACATACACTTGGAGAGGAAAAGGGATGTTCCTATTGGGTGTATGTGTAGAAATGTACACAAAAAATAGCAGCTGTCTGTATTGCATACAGAGTGATTTCTGAACCAGTTCCTGAGGGGTTCGTGGAATGCCTGTGGTCCAGATGAACAGCAACATAAGAATTTTAGAGTTGTGTTGTTGTTTGTATTTTTTTCTTCTTATATGAAAAACAAAAAGATGAGGCCAGTCATGGATGGGACCACTTTTTGCCTTGGGGAACTCTCCAGCTGTGCCTCCTCAGAAACAACTAAAACATAAGTTTTGAGTGACTGATTAGAGATGGAAGATGGGGAGTCCCAGCTCATTTTAACAAATCAATTTTATCATATGAGTTCCAACAGGGTGGAACTTCTTACCTGAAGAACTGGTAAGAAGAGGAATTCGCTTTTTAATCATAGATATAGAGCTCCAAAACCAGGCACAGTATAGAACTGACTAGAAATAATTCCTGAAATCGTTTTAGATTTTTCTATGTTTAATCTATTTGTCACAACTTAATGGCTGCATGGTCCATAGTCTTGAATATCTGATCTCAGAAGAGCAATACTATTCAGGTCTTTATTTGGACTATGCTTTTTAAGACTGCTTTTATTCCCAGATGAAGTAAAAATCTCCTTTTTTAAGTTTAAATACCACTGCTTCAAAGAACATAGTTTAAATATTAAACAGATATTTGGAGTGCATCAGCGTGGGATAAGCCAGGGAGGAGGACTTGAGGAGGAACTGAGAGAGAAGAGTGAATGTGTTACTTGTTGCAGATAATTTCATTTTATTGGCCACCTGATTCCGTGGTATTGATGAAACTGAGTCACTACCACAAAAGGAATACTTGGTATCGTTTTCCTGCCTTGCACAAGGATTGTAAGAGGAACCTTCTAACAACATTGTTTGGAGGAAATTCCTACCCAGGGCATTCACTGGGAGCGATACCACCTGATGAGCACCAAACTGTGTCATTTTTCTGGAGGTATTTCAAATTTGAGGAACATCCAGTGCATTTGCAAACTTGTCATTCTTCAGGTGTAAATAACATTGTCCATGCTCATCCCAGGCAGGTGACTGCTCTGCCTGTCACCCTCTCTGTGATCCAGATCTAAACTTCATCAGAAACCACAGCCAGCCTCCAGTTCCCTGCTTTCTAATTCTGCATGACTAAGCCTTTCAGCACGTTATAAATACTGTTGCTCATTCAAAATACATTGGTTACCTGTGCACCAGTGACTGCCAGCATATTTCTGCAGTGGAGTGGTTGAGCATTGGGAAATTGGCATCAATTAAATCATTTGAGTCACAGAGCTGCCCTTTCTGCCCACACCCACGTGTGTGAGTTACATACAGGGAGATGTACAAATGTGAGCAGCACTGCACACACCCTGCCAGCAAACAAGGAACTTGTATTCCTGCAGAAAATGGGTATTGCTCCAGAATTCACACCAAAATATGAGGAAGTGAAGAGTACACAAAAGTATTTTGGTTTTGTGGCTATTGGAATTCTCCAAATACTCTTTTCAACCAGGGATTACAGTGAGGAAAACAATGCAAACACGTCACTGGTAGATTTTTGTCTGCTGATGGATATATTTATGACTGAGGCACGTGGCTTGGAGTCTGCATGGCATTTTCCATGTTTGTGAATGAGACTTGTACTCTGGCTTGGCTTTGCTGTAGGGCTCAAAATCAGTCATTTCCCTTGACTTTTTCCTATCTGAAGAAGGAGAATTGATAATTGCTCATTTTTCCCAAAGCACTTTCATGGTTAAGGACATATCATAAGCATAGAATGACAGAGTGGTTTGGGTTGGGAAGGAACTTAAAGCCCATCCCATTCCACCCCCTGCATGGGCAGGGACACCTTCCACTGTCCCAGGCTGGACACTTCCAGGGATCCAGGGGCAGCCACAGCTCCTCTGGGCACTCTGTGCCAGGGCTTCCCCACCCTCACAGGGAAGAATTTCTTCCTAATATCTAATTTAAACCTGCCTTCCTTCAGTTTAAATCCCTGCTGTTCTTCTCACAAATGATCTATAGAATAATGACAGTAAATTGAGGATTTGTAGAGGTTACACTTGTAGAAATAGATTTCTCTGTGCTTACAACTTTCTGCATTGACTGGTTCATTTCTTCCCCTGCAATTATTTCTGGGTGTAGCTCAAGCTGATTAGATGGCTGAGAGTTTGCTTGTGCTCATGTATCAGGTATTCAGGCATCAAAGCATTGTGTCTTAGCCTGCACTCAGCAGCACCCAGAAAACTGCAGGGACAGTGAAAGAGCTTAGGCTGAAAATCAGGTCCTCACAGTGTTGCTTAAAATGGGCCACTAAGAAAATTCTATTAGGTAAACAATTCCTTTTTGACCATTCTAGATTGTGTTGTGCTGAATGTGAAGTATGTCCTCGTTCTGTGGGATTGCCCTTTGCCCACAAAGGCAGGATTTCCCTGGAATGCTGGATGCCTCCTCCGTGCCCCTGCCCTGTGTGGCTCCAGGTCATCCCCTGCAGGTGCTGCTTAGAGAGTGCTTGGGTGCTCCTGGGGGTCCCAGCAAGGCTCAGGTCTCCTCGGAGAGTTTTGGGGAGCTGTCCTCTGCTGCTCAAGGCAAGTGGAGTGAGATGGGTGCTCAGCACCTTTGAAAGATTCTGTTATTCCCTAGCTTTTAATGAAGGAAGATATTTAGTTTGAGGGATTGCAGGTTCAACTGTTTCCCAGCTTTGAAGAGCCTTTAGGATTTCACAGTCAGAAGCTGTCCTTGGCGTGCTGGGGAGGATGGGTTGTGCTTGGCAGGAGTTGCTGTTTCTGGATCCCAGAGCAGGGTTTGTTACTCACCCACCTCCCCAGACCTTCCCAACTCAGCAAGAGTGAGCTGGGATCTGGGAGCAAACTGGGAGTCTTCTGCCTCTTCTAGATTATACTCTTGAATGTCACTGAGTAAATGCTTTATTATTACTTTTCTTTCAGGCCTATAAATCTTCACAAAAAATATAGTCCTTTTCTTCTGGGCAAAAGACAAATGAAACAACTCTGAAGTTCTAGAAATAAATGCATACAGGAGGATCATTTTCCAGTCACATGAATTTGTATTTCCCTGACTGTTGTCCATCCTGTATTAAAAAAGCCAAGGGGGGAGCTGCTAATGTTTCTATTTTTTTTCTCAGTATTTCTGGCTCCTCGTGCTCTCACGGGGTTTGGTTGGCATTGGTGAAGCGAGTTATTCCACTATTGCACCAACCATCATTGGGGACCTGTTCACCAAAAACACCAGGACCCTTATGCTGTCTGTGTTCTACTTTGCAATTCCTCTGGGCAGGTAAGTGACACTTCAATCTGGTTTTGGCTCTTCTCTTCTATAAACTCACACAGATTGAAGCTGCTAATGATGATAGTTCTTGACATTGGCTGGAATGGTTTAGACAGGAAAATATTGTGAGCAGTGACTAATTAGTTGCAGGAATTAGGTTCTTTTTTTGGCCCTGTTACTGGTTCATGTGTGACTTTTGGGAACTAATGGGAAGTTTGTTGTTGGTTTATTTAGTTTTTTTCCCTACTTTTTTACAGCAATGGGGTGGAAATGGAATCAAAATATTTTAGCTGACTTTTTCTTTCAGTGGAGTTTCTTTATTAGCCCAACACAGATCTGATTGTTGGGTGGGAGGGAATCTGTCAATTTTTTTGTTTTTAATGGCTGACCCTCTATTGTGAGATTGTCAGCAAGCTGGCTTTGCATAGTTTGCATATCAATTCCCAGAGCTGGACAACATCCTGGGCAAAAGGGCATTATGGGCTCATTTCCAGCAGGGAATACATGGGCAACATGTTCCAAACTCAGAGAAAAACTTCTGGTGGTGCATTTTATAAGCTGGAACACTTACCTGAGACATAAAACTCACAAAAATCCTTTTGCTCTTGAGGAAAAAGACAGCACCAGATCCTTAATGGGTGAAAAGAATATTTTGTCAAGAGGAGCAAGGATTTCAAATATTCACATAGAAAATTCAATGAACTAGAAAGAAATTACAAATATTCATCCTGTGGAGCCAGATTCTGGGACTTCATTATCTCAATATCCAGCAGCAGCATGGATTACAAGGCCATGGAGGGTAGGACAAGGGCTGTAAACTGAAAGAGGTTTCCATTGGATATTAGGAAGAAATTCTTCCCTGTGAAGGTGTTGAATTCCTGGCACAGATTCCCAGAGCAGCTGTGCCTCCCCCATCCCTGGCAGTGTCCAAGGCCAGGCTGGACAGGGCTTGGAGCAGCCTGGGATAGTGGAAGGTGTCCCTGCCCTTTCCAAGGGGTAGGACTGGATGGATTTTAAGGTCTCTTACACCCAATTCACTCTGTGATGATTCATGGTTTGATTTTGGGGCCTGGCTGGGTGAAATGTCCAGTTTTAGGGAGGTTATAGCTGACAGGCTCCAAAGCTTAACAGACTCCAGTAAAGGGGGGTGGGTCTGGGGAGGGGGGCTCACAGTTGCCCCACTACAGTCCTGGCAAGTTTTAGCCAAGACAATCTCAGCAACAAATGCAGCAGTCTTGGAAAAGGATATTTACCTTCAGTTCATGTTGAGAGAAACGTGGCTATGTTCACCTGTAGTCTCTGGTGATGCACCTTTTGTCATACATGTGGCTGAATGCCTCCCATAAAACTTCTTGCATGTTCTTCTTGGTTTTTCTTCCAAGCTAATAGAAAATAGTCTCTTCCTACATAATTAGAACCAAGTACTATTTAGTGGCAAGAACAAAAGTCTAGTGATGGAATATGCTCTGTCCTTGGAGGGCACTTTTTGACTGAAAGCTTGAACATAAAATGGTTTAACATTCATATTAGCTCAGAGAAAGGCCTGATGTAGAAATGAAATTGGGAAATAAGTGATTTTTAAGTCTTTGTTTCTTAGATTGAAAGGTCAGCTATAAACTTCCAAATTTCCATCAGATTTGAACATTGTTACATCAGCAGTGCTGGGCACAGTCACATACCAGCCACCATCTGCTTCAATCCCCACATTTCTTCCTGTAGGACAAGAGAGCTGAGGACACACAGTGGGTTGTGCTTCTCTTTGCCTTTGTCTAAGAACAGCTGTGACTGAGGCACACTGAAAGCTCTGACCAACTCTCACCTTGGCCTTTCTTGCAGTGGCTTGGGGTACATCACTGGGTCCAGTGTGAAGCAGGTGGCTGGAGACTGGCACTGGGCACTGCGGGTAAGTCCCTCTTAATGACACATCTTAATGACAGTTGGTTAGCTAATTAGTGTTAGGAAGAGTTCCATCACACAATGGCTCAACCTGTTATTATATCTGAGAGGTGAAGGACTGGAAATTCCATCTGTGGATCTTAAATGCATGGCAGATGCACTCACTAAGCAAAGATATGTGGGCTTGGCTTGTGGGACTTGGTGTTTTCCCTGCTTGGGGGCAAGAATTTTCCAATCACTTTGTTATCAATCAATCAATCAATCCTGACTTCTTGATGGGGACAGGAAGACGAGGCATTGGCCTTAAATCAACTCCACAGTCTTTCAGTCTCCTGCTGTCAAGAAACTCTGAGAATGGCTTCCGGCTTTGAGGAAAAAACACTTTGTTCCAGTTTCCGCTTGTTTTTCTGCCCTGAGACAGTCAGTTTCCTTCTATTTTAACCTCTTGGGACCCTGATAAATGGGCTGAAAAGATAATCCACTCCAATCACATACTCACAAACAGCTTGTGCACACAAAGATGTCTTGAAAGAGCAGAGAGGAAGTGGCCCAGCAGAACTGGTTTCTGACCTTTGGGACTGGGGGTGGCATGTGAGGTGCATTCTCTGCTTCGTGGAGACCATGAATCTCATGAAGCTCAGGCCAACACCATTTATAATGGTAGGTGATGAAATACAGGAGGTCCCATGTGAACTGTGACACAGGCCATGCCCAGGGTAAGTAAAGCCAGGAGCATCACCAAGAACAGTTCATCTGTAGCTGGGAGAGTGGAGGGCAGTTTCCAGCTGTGCACCTGGACTGGAAAGCAGAGTAGCCTAAAGCTTCCCACCTAGAGGATGCTGCCTCATTAGCAGAAATAGTTAAGAGTAACATGAAGTTTTGAGCAGAGACGAACACAAGGAGTGAAAACCCCAAAGCCCATCCTTTGGTCAGTGGGCTTTAACTGGAGCACCCTTGGAAAACCCAAATCTGCCAATAAAACCCCAATGGTTAATCTGTGAAAAGAGATCATCACTAGGACTTTACAGCTGGTGTATTCACAGTTATCCTGAGAAATCCAGGCTGTCTGCAACACTGTACCCTTACAGGTCAGATTTCCACTATAAATGACACATTGGTGCAGGATTCCCTGGCTGTACAAAATTTGGGGAATGTGATGAGCTGCACACTTCTTTGCTTTGGACACCATTGCTCAGTCTTTGTAGTCCCACAGCACATATAGAAAGCATCCAGACATCAGTGTAAAGCAGCTTCCATCCCTGTGGCAATTCTTGCACTCTTGCAAGATGGGAATGATTCCCCAAGATGATGCTTCCCTCTGTGATCTCCTGTGGGCTCCAAATACAGAGGAGGTCAGGAATAATCCGTGCTTCAGTGGGCTGGAAAAGACAGAAGGGCACGTGGACAAGTGGCAGCTTTGTCTCTAACAATAAAGTGAGTGTTTCACTGCAGCATTTCTGAGTGTTCATGGCTATTGTCCTGGTGGGTACTTAAGCTGTTAGATAAAAATCAAAGAGACTTGCAACAAGAGACTTCTCCTTCTGGCTGCAGAAAAAACAGAATTTCCAGTGTTTTTTTTACCAGTGCTGTGTCTTCTGTTCAGCTGTCATAAGGATGCTGTATCAGGCTTCAGTGTGTTCCTGGATGAGCGATTTTCCTGACTTTTAAGTTCTGAAATACTTTTGTCTTTCCTTCCCTAGAAGGATTGTGAGTTTGTCATCTGTGGACATGAAACACTGCTCCGTGTGTAAAGGCTGTTCTCAGGTTAATAATGGAAGCTTTATGAAAGCTTTTTTTTTTTAACAGGAATTTATTTTTAAAATAGCATATCTAGAGGAGATGATAATTCAGTGAAATCCATGTTCCTATTTTCCTGATGGAGCTGTTTGAGCTATTGGAGCTATATGACAATAATAGAATTTCAGTGTCAAAACAAGAATGGTTTTTATGGCTTGCAAAATGCTGTGGGATCTTTGTATTTTTGCCTAGTGCTTGGAGAAAGGATTGGATACTGGGAAACCAAGCCCTTGAATTCCAGCCTGAATTTTCAATGTTTCTTGGTCTGTTGTACTGAGGAAATCTGGGGAAGATACCTGAAATCAGGAAGCCGTTGTGGGTTAGGTGCAAGAGGGATGTATGTCAGGCAAAGGTTTTCAAAGCCAGCATGTTCCCTACACCCAGAGATCTTTCAGCTGGTCTAATTGCCCTTAAAAGTCTTCTGCACTCACCCAGAAACCAACTGGTCTCTCAGCCCAGCTGGGAGTAGGTTTCCAAAGAGTTAAACATCACTGAAGAATCATGTTTAGATGAGTCTTGGTACTTATTAACACAATGGACTGCCTTACTCAGTATTTTCAAAGCTGCATGTTTCCAGAGTGAGATAAGAGAGCCCAGGGGATGACATGGAGGAGGGAAAGGAGCAGATGCCTCGATGCCTCCAGGTTCTGACTGGCTGTGAGGAGCAGCCACTGAAACCACACACATGGATTCTGCTTCTTCCTGACCAGTCAAAGCAAACCCTCCTGACTCCTGTGCTAATTCCCTGCTCCTCTCTTGCAGGTATCTCCACTCCTAGGAATGATAACAGGGACCCTCATCTTGGTATTTGTGCCTGCTGCTAAAAGAGGAAATGCTGAACAACTTGGGGGGCAGCTGAAGGCTCGGACTTCATGGCTCAGAGACATGAAAGCATTGATTAGAAAGTAAGAGCACGAGTGAAAACTCTAATGCTTAGTCAGAACACCCGATGGTCTGGGTTTAGCATGGTGAGACTGGAAAGTGACAACATGCAGGGAGTTGCAGGAAGTTTAGTCTGTGGGCCTAGGAAAGAAAATCACAGTTACATGAGGCATCGAGTGCTGTGACAATGTTGGATTCCAAGTTTTGCTCTAACCTTTCCAAGAATGACATCTAAGAAAAAGTCTGCTTTGTTTGGCTCATACTTCACACAAACCAGGGCTTTTGAAGTGTAGAAATTTCTGTATTCCTGTATTAATTGTTGTGCCACTGTTGTTCAGACGCTTAGATCCTTTCTCTTCTTTAAAAGAGCTGTTCTGCTGAGGGGGAAAGGAGGGTTCTAGCAATTTAAGATTTAAAAAAACCACACAGAAGCTTGCACTATGGCAAGTTTAAATATATGTGAGCAACCAAATGTGACTGAATCCATGAGAACTGAATGTGCTTGGGTGCTTGTATGTGTGCATAAAGGTTCACATGCTCACAAGTGTTTAAGCAGCTGCACTTCCTTCCAAAAATCCTGTGAATGTACAAATACTTTCACTTGTGATTTCAGGGTTACCTTGTAATTCTGATGGGAAACTTGTGATGTCCTTCGTTTTTAGAACTTCTGTCTAGAATACCTTCCTGGTATTGTCCTCCAGTGCCAAAGGACTTTGGAAAAGTGATGTTAGATAATTTATCATTATTTCTATGTTACTGCTTTTGGTAGTTTATGTAAGTAGTAACCATATGGTGACATGAATGGGGAGGGAGAAGTGAAACTGTTCATCCAAGGACACAGGTGACATTGGGGTGAAAGCTCTGTCATTCACATAACATGTCTTAGTGACCAAGTACTGTCTTCTCAAAAAGTGCCTTGGAACAGTCCTGTGAAGCCTCTCTGATGGGTTCAGTGTGTTATTATCAGTGGAGCATCACATGTGAATATTCCATGCCTCTTATTCTCCATTCCTTTGTGCCTTGGCAAAGGGGGGTGGCAGTGTGGGGGAACACTGCCTTTGTCACTCAGCACTGGCTCCTGTGTGGGGGTCCTGCTTCTTTGCTTTCCCCCCTGAACCTTCTCTGCTTTTGTCTCCACAGCCGCAGCTATGTGTTCTCCTCCTTGGCCACCTCAGCTGTCTCCTTTGCCACAGGGGCTCTGGGGATGTGGATCCCTCTGTATCTTCACAGAGCACAGGTTGTGCAGAAGACGGCAGAGACCTGCAGCTCCCAGCCCTGTGGCACCAAAGATAGGTGAGAGTCAGAGTCAGCTGCTGTACAGAGGGGGACAGGGGTGGGGGCTTATTTACCAGAGGAAACAGGCAAGTCCCACAGAGACAAGGTACTAGAATGTCTGTAATTTCCTCTAGGCCCTTGCAACAATGATAGGAAATGCTGGGATTGTAAACTAGGCTTTAGTTCTCTTCTTCATTGCGTGGAGTCAAACCAAGGGAGAAGCAGTGACCTCAGCTGTGTCTTAGTTCCCAGGCTGCAGTGCAGAGTAGAAAAGAGAAAAGATAAATCCTCTAAGGAGGATGTTTGGAGAGCTGAGAATTTGGGCTCTTAAAACCCATCTCTGATAGCAGCAGAATAAGCTGGCAGGTTAGGAAGCCCCAGTGGTGCCTGCAATTCAGAGATTGGAATGGCTCCCCTAAAGCTGCAGGGACTAATCCTGTAGACTTTTGTTTCTGTGTGAGGCAGGACTTCCCTGTTTTATTGCCCTGTAAACTGCTGTGTGTGCTGAGTTTTGCTGAAGAATGTCCCAGAGATCTGGGACACTTTGGGCTGGAGTGTTTTATGTTGTACAGTCGTTTGGGTTTTCAGTCCTGGTTATGGAATATCACTTGCAACACATAAGCTATGAAAAGTAATTCTTCATTTTGTGATGTACAGTGGTGGCACAACCAAAAAATGCTATAAAAGCATTCCTCCAGGTAAATAAAAGATACTAGAAAAGCCTTTTGTCAGATCTTTTGCTTTTTAGCTCATGAGGGAAAATAATATTAGGAAAACCTTGCCTAGCAGACATGATCCCATCTCAATTAAAGTAGTTAATGGTGTGGAGTCCCATCAGCCAGAGTGTCCAGCAGGCAACCTCAGGCTGCTCCACAAAAATGCAGTGAGAGAAACACACAGCTCCAGCCTGACTGCCTGTCTGCTGTTCACAAAGAGAAGCTCCCCCTCCTTGATGACACCTCAGTTTTGAACTGTCCTCAAGCTACTCTAATGTGGTTGCCCAAGATCCTGTAATCCAAGTCCTGAACATATCATACAGAGAATCCTCCTGGCTCTTTAAATGGAAATTAACACATTTCAAATGTGTAACCTAACAGCAAAATGCTTCTTTGAAGTGCCTGAAAGGAGTTATAAAGTCAAAGTACGTTGGAAATCAGTGGTACTTAAGAGTCTTCTTAGGTTTCCTTGCCCTGAAGCTTCCTGGTGCCTGTCCCTGATTTCTCCTTACATGATCAATGTACAGGTTATTAATTAGTTTTGTGTATACGTAATTAGCTGTTCAGGGCACTTTGTAGGAATCCCAGTTCCACCCAAGGAAGCAGTGTGAGCCCTTTGCACCCCTTTGCCCATAGATCAAAGCCTGTGCACAATTTCATATGCTTTCAATTTTTCTTAATTTTGGGGGAAGAGGGCTAAAATCATGAGCATTTGTTTTATTTAAAATTTGCAAAGCTATTGTGCAAATCATGCAAATTTCCATTAGTCAGTTTACTCTAATAATTTATCCAAAGACGATGCCCTTTTTGGGGAAAAGCTAAAAAAAAACTCAAAAAAAAACCTCAAAAAAAACCCTAAAAAAAAAAATCTTTCTGCTATTTTCTCTCTTTCTTCCTTTCCTTTTCTTTTTTTTTTTTTTTTTTTAATAGTTTGATCTTCGGGGCAATCACTTGCTTCACAGGATTCCTGGGTGTGATCACAGGGGCAGGAGCCACCAAATGGTGCCGCTCGAAGACGCAGCGAGCCGATCCCCTCGTGTGTGCTGTTGGCATGCTGGGCTCAGCCATCTTCATCTGCCTCATCTTCGTGGCTGCCAAGAGCAGCATCGTGGGAGCCTATGTGAGTACAATCCTTCCCCCATGCCAGCCCTCCCAAGCTCTCCTTATGACACTGTGTGCATCGTGTCCCCTGCAGAAAGCCTGGGATGTTTTCTTGCCTCTGCCCTTCTCAGTGTCCTTCTTTTTGCCTCTTGGCATTCTGGCAGTATCTAAGTGTGCCTGGAATCTCAGCTGTTTATCCCTGCTGCCATTAGAATTCAGAGCTCCATGGAAACCCACAGCCTTTGGGCTCTTCTGTCTGCACCTCAGTCCACACCTTTATTGCTCCTGCCTGATGTTTTGGTAAAATTGAGCACTTCCCTTGCAGTGAGGGTATTGCAGTGGTACCAAATGACAATTACAGTGTAATTTGTCTGTGGGCAAGCTTTTGGCTCCCTTTCAGTACCATTCATTGCCATAACTAGGTGGATTGCACCAGGCCAGTATTAATTAATTACCCAGTAATTTCAATTTGTTGTCTGTATTTCCATGGCCCGGGAACCTACAGTACTTGATACTGCACAAATGCAGATTAAAATATGGCCCCTCCCTGAGTGCTTATAATTGAATTATATTAAAAGATATCAAATAGAACCAGAAAAATCGAATGGCTTGGGTTGGAAGGGATTTGGAAGATCATGTAATCCAACCCCGTGCCCTGTGCAGGAGCACCTTCCACTAGACCTTGCTGCTGAGAGCCTTCTCCAATGTGGCCTTGAGTGTTTCCAGGAATGAGGCATCCACCACCTCCTGGCCACCCTGTGCCAATGCTTTACCACCTTTATAAAAAACTCCTTCCTTATATCTCATCTAAACCAACCCTCTTTTAGTTAGACTGAAGGGAAAAGGAAAAGCTCAATTACAATAATCCAGCCTCGGGCTAGAATCTTGCTTCCAGTAGGGAGTCAAACTCCAGTCTCTGTACAAGTCTCTGGTTCCCTTTTAATGTCAGAATGAGAGAAGCCTGAGACCTGGGAGAAGTTTATGAAGGGAAAGTATGAGAGGTTTGGAGTAGTGGGATCCCTTCTGAAAGCTCACCCTTCACTTCCACACAGCAGCACGTGCTCATCCAGCAAGGAGAATTCATTTACAAGTAACTGCTGTTCCTCATTTCTCTGGAGTTTGAGCACTGGCCTGGCCATGTTTATTTGCTGAGTCTTTCAGCAGCTGCCACAGTTATGGGGAAGCACAACCAGAAAGAGTGGAAGATCAAAATCATTAAGACAGAGCCAAGAATACCTCCTGTGGCTGTTTAAGATTCAGATCTCTGGTTTAGGATCATGAACTAACATTTGAACTGGCAGAGGAACGATCACCTCAGACAGCCTGTGAGGGGGTGTTACTGGTTGGTGAATCATTAACCCTCCTTTCACTGATCTATCACACCCCTCACCTGCTCCCTCCACCTCTTTGTGCAGGCAGAGCTGTGATTTTCTCCTTTCTCAGACCTAGTGACAGACATGTTCATTTGTGGTGTTCAGTCTCTTTATACAGAAACCTCTCCCTTTCTAGGCTGGAAATACTATTTTCAAAAATTGTGCAGCAGGAGGTGGCTATTAGTCTCATTTTTATATTTTTTCTATTTTTTTTTAAATAGCCATATAACTATTCTGCATTGTTTAAGGATATAAATATAGATGGTATCATTTAAACCATCCTAGAAACAATTTATTTTATTATGGATGAGCAGTAAATCTAATAAAGAGTCAATGATTTGCAAAGGGAGTTAGAGCTGCATATGGAGGGGGTATGAGGAATATGAGCCTGTTTGTGATGCTATGAGGCTGAAGCAGAAGCAAAGCCTCTCCATAGCCCTGACTGCTCTGCTGCTGGAAACCTGATGCCCACAAAGAGAGGCTGGTCTGGGCTGGAGCTACCAGTGTCTCATGGCACCAGGTATTATTGTGGCAGTGCCAGGCTGAGCTGACTGTCCAAGGCAAGCTTCTAACACAAACTCATGTTTTTCCATGCCATTCAAAGAGCTGCTGCAATCTTGCAGACTTCCAGAATGTTTAATTCCCTTGTATTTCCAGGAGGACAGGAGCAGGAGACCTGCATTGCCAGGTTGCAGGGTGTAGCAGTTTCTCACTGCTCTTTGTTTTAAGTCTTACTGGTCCATAATGAAGGGGAGAGTGTTCTGTGGCTGCTGGACAGCATGATGGGCTAGGCCACCTTCCTTATCTCAAAATCCACCATAAAATCTCCTTCTGGAAACAATACAGGGAAATTTATGGGTTGATTTTCTTGTCTCTGACACCTTCCTTGACAGCTTGTCCTGGCTCATGTCCTTGAATTCTGTGTCTGTGAAAGGCAAGGCAATGTCTGTCCCACAGCATGGTGGCATTTGCCAACCTTCTGTACTGTGCCTGTCCTTAGGCTTCTGTCATGGATCACACTGTGCAAAAATTGACAATGAATGTTTTTGGAGCCCTCATTGGCTCAGAGCCTTAAAATTCTCACTTCCAAGCAATTAGGTGGGTCCCCAAGAGATGATGTTCTGTCTCACTGTGAGAGGAGCCGTGGTGGCCACCAGATCACCATCTCCCTCCCTGCTTTAGTTAACAGTGATAGATTTAATGCTGACTGATACAGGCATCAGCTTAAATGAAGTGTTCAGCACTCCAGCAAGAGCCTGCAGAGCCCTTGCTTTTTAATTTCTTGGTTTTAGAGTTGTTTTTTTTTTTTTTGGAAAAGACCTGCATTTTCATTAACACAATCACCCTGCCCCTTACATGTTCTGTAGTCTGCTCTCTTGCTCCCCTGAACACATGGACTATTCCTCTCCTGCTCAGTCCTTTCTTGCAAGTGATTTTGGTCCCTGGGTGCAGTTGCTATTCCCATTCTGCAGCAGCCTCTCCCACCTGAGGCAGGTAGACAGATGACTTTCTTCCAGCCAGTCTTTTCATACTGATCCAGTAAATTATTGGCAGTGGTAAAGCAGCTGGCAAGGTGGACTAAAACAACAATTCTGTATCATTTAGCTGCCCAGACACCTGCATTTCTCTCTTTTACTATCTTGCTTGGCTGTATAGTCCAATCACTTCTTGCTCAGTTTTCCTTGCAGCATGTGGATTTCTGTTGTAATCCAGCTCCTTAAAGCACCAATTTGCATATCTGCAAGTCCCACTTTTTCTGAAATACAAACTCTTTGAAAATTGGTTTTCAAACCTGTCTCTGGAAACCCATTATATGTGTGACATCATCATCTCACACTGCTCAGACATTTCAAGTGCAGATTTTACACTTATTTAAATCTCCAAGTGACTGGAGAGAGATGCTCTGCTTTGCCTTCCTTTGACACTGTTCCAAATTCCTCAATTTCAACATCTATTTGAATTCCTCAAAGACGTTTTATGATCTTGCAGAAACAGCAAATCCCAGGGTAAAACCTTGCCAGAGAGCTTTTACAGCATCTTAGTCTCAGCCCCTGGGCCTTTGTGTTGTCATGTTGTTGGTGACCTGCCTACTTCAAAATTGCCCAGAACTGAGCTGAGGTTAGAATTGCTCCAAACCCTGGAGTACATGAGGGTGTGTTACCCACCATTTCAGAGAGAAATACAAATAATGAAGATATTGACAGATACACCCTTTGCAAACAGCCATGGATGTGTTTGTAACCTGCTTAGAACTTGCTGTGAGAGCTGCTGGTGTGTCCACTCTGAAATCGACTTTATTTATCATTTTTGGGAGCCAGAATTGGCTAACTGATCACTTAAACAGAAAAGCACAGATGAGCAATCACACACCAAATGGACATGGTGAGATGTTGCACAGCACAGCTGGAGTCAGAAACAGATGTATATGTAGAGGTGAAGCCTCAGTGTAAAATGAGGCTTCAAAAAGTGTGTGAGGAGTCACAACTGTGAGCATTTCAGGAGCAATTATCTGCTCTGGGGCTGCCCTATTTGCTGTAAGCTTCCCCAGAGTCTCCCTGCTGCAGAAATGCCACATATCCTCACATGCCCTTTGCAGTGGGTGAACTCATTTTTATAAGCCCCCAGCAGCAGCTGAAGGACAGACATTTTTTAATGTCAGTGTCTTCTATCCTACTTTTTGATCTTCCTCTTGTTCCTCTTTTCCTTTTGCCAGTGCCCACCTATTAATCTCATATTTCATGAATTGGTTGAAATACACATTCATCAGCTCAGAACCGGTGTGTTCTGAAATTTGTGGCACTTCACTGATTTATTTAAAGGACTCGTGCTAAATTCCTGCACAAGGGACAAGTTCTTGCTGCCTGTAGCAATTGAAATGTGTGCAGTTTGTGTCAGGCCAAGGGAAGCAGTTTGCTCTTTGCAGTGCTGGGAGCAGGCAGGGCACGTTGATGCATTCAGAAGTGATTCCATCATTCCCAAGCTCAGTTTAGTCTCTGCAGGCACAGACCCCCAGCACCAGCAGCTGCAAAGCTGGAGCAGGACAGATTTCAGAGCAGGTCTGAGTTTGTGTCTGGTACCCATGGGACACGTGGCTGTAACTCCTGACAGCACCCTGGTTTATGGGATGTGTCCTCTCCTTGGCAGTTGTCATTTCCAGTGAGAACCAATCCCAAGGCTGACCAATGGGAACATGGAAATAGAGATTTCCTAAGTGACCAGCTGGGCTGGAATGACTGCCTGTGACACCATCACAGAGGAAGCAGATCCAGCCACAGAAAAAGGGAAAAGGGAGGGAAAATATTTGAGAAACAAAGACAATATTAGAAACAAATAGAGGAAGCTTCTGTAGATCAGTGCGTAAGACTTGCTAAATAAAGCAAATTATTCCTGGCAGTGACAGGGTGGTCTGAGGGGTTTAGGCAACCTCAGCTGGTGTGTGGGAAAGACAGTGGCAGTGGTCACATCATGTCACAGCTGCCACTCTTGCAGTTCTGTGGCTTTTAATGTCTCTTGCTGATCATCTCCACAGAGTCAAGGATTCTGTTTCACCACAAGACACTGCTGTTGCAAAGCCCATATTTAATTCCAGTCTCAAGTGGACAGATATGGCCCATGTAATGCTGCTGGGGAGGGAAGGGATCCTCCACAGCTCTCTGCAGAGAGCCTCAGCTGCTTTGCTGCAGAGCTGAACACATAACTTGGTTCCCAGGAATGGAAATGGCTGTGTTCTGGGGAGTTGTGGCTTTCTTGCCTTTTCTAACTGGCTTTTTGGAAAAAAAATAGTGCAAGTTTGACTTGGTGATCCTTAAAGGGCTTTTCCAACCTCAACAATTCTATGATTCTAAGTATGCAAGCCTGGGGCTGTCGCTTCATGCTGGTTTTTCATGTTCTTCTAAAATCAAAAGTGTCAGCCTTTAATTTAGCTGCTCTGTAGATCATAAACTTAGTTTACAATAACAACATTTCAGGCCAGCCCTCTAGAGCTCTGATACAAGTCTATGGTTTGTTTATAGTCAGGATAAACCACAACAGCAACAAGGAGTGTGCTGTGTAGGTATGAGAAAAATAAGCAACAAAAGAAAGTTTGTGACAGGTTATTTTTCCTCTGAATGTCAAGTGAATAAATCTTCTCCTTTTTTGTGTGTGTTTTCTTACAACAGATTTGCATTTTTATCGGAGAAACTCTTCTGTTTTCAAACTGGGCTATCACAGCAGACATACTGATGGTGAGTGCACTTTGGAACAGCTTCTTGCTGTGTTCAGAGCAGTTTGTCAAACTGCAAGAACACCCTGAAGTTCACAATTTCTTCCAGATCCTAGTCCCTACTTCAGCCTATTCTGGTTTGTTTGTTTTTGTTTTTTTTCTTACTGAAAAGTGACACATGGAGAAAGAGAGAAAAAAGATCCTTTTCGTCCTTTGTTCTGAGCACCAGGGACAGATGTCCAGAAAGGACAACATTTCTGAATTCAAATAATTTCCCAAAATTTTAAGTGTTTGTGCAAAACCCCACATGCACAGAACTCAGGCAGCATTTCCTAACAGTCAGCACATTTGTGGGCTTTGTTATCAATAACTCAGCTTTGTTCTGCAATAGGAAATCCTTCCCTCCATCCCTCCCTCCCTCCTGTGACCACAAAGGCAGCCCATCTACCTACCATTCATCACATACACAATAGAAACCCACCTCGGGGAGAGCAGAGAGGAAAAGAAAGTATAAAGAATTTTTGGACTATGTCCACCTTGTCCAAGAGGAAAGTGTCAAGGACTTTTCAACTCATGTCCTTCATTCTCCATTCTTTCTCCACCACAGAGCTTTTTAAGTCTTTCAACTCAGCAAGCTGACCTCAGCAGCCCCATTTTCACATGAAATAATCTGGACATTTGTTCAAGAGCTCTGCATATTTTGTAGAGGTTTCCATCAGAGCCCATCAAACATTGTATTGAAACCCTGTTGTGAAGGAGGTGTTGCTAATTGTATGAAAAGAAAGGCACTAAGGCACAGAACCATTACAGGACTTTCCCGAGGTCTTTTGTCAGCTTTTGTTGACAGAACTAAAAATATATAATCAGTCTGGCATCAATGGAAAACTCCCTTGACTTGTATTTGTTGGTTATGCAAACATCAGTGAGGAAACAATCAGGCTCAGTATTCTTAGATGTAAAGATAATGGTGTTGATATATTGATTCAGCAAAGAACTTCAAGCCTCTGCTTAAGTTCTGTTTATATTGAAGTTCAAGGCTGTGTTTATGTTTTAAAGTAGCTCTGCAGTTGCCATCACTGCATTGCCTGATGAACTTTCCATCTTTCACTCATTGGAGAGCTGGGGTGGTTAAAGCCACTCCTCTCCGTGTGGGTGAAGCACAGAGAAACAAAGGTTGTCACTGTTGTCTGGTGGCATTGGATGGCTTTTCATTCCTCCTGCCAGGTCAGCTCGGTGGGACAGAGCTCTGTGGGGCTTCCCTGCGACTTCCATGAGCTTTTGCAGCTTGTGCTGAGTTCAAGGCTGCTGTTCATTCAGAATGTGATATCTCAGCACTTGCCCAGATGTGCAGCCTGGAGACAGCTGTGCAGAGGAAGAAATTACAGTACAATATGTAATTCCTGCCAGAGCTCCCTGTCACATCCTGCCTCTGGCTGTGCTGCTCCTAGGAGCAATCCCAGTTCTCCCCACTCAGAATTAGAGGAGAGGTTTAAACAGCAGCTGGTTTAGACCCTTCTGAGCATTGGCTGGCACAGGTGAGGGCTCAGCTGAGGTGGTCCCAGCTCTCAGGAGGGAGGATCAGACACATTCGAGGTCCTCCAGAAAATCTGTGCCAGGGACAGACCTCCTATTTGACCTGTGCTGTCTCAAGGTAACCCCAATAGATATTTTCAACCAACTTCTCTGTTATAGCAAGGATATTAGGGCTGCCATCATTGTCCCATTTCATTATAGAGGTTTTTTGTGTTGATTTCAATGTGACTTCAATATCCTGTAGCTTTTTAACAGCTTTTATAGGATTTGCCATCTGTCTTACCAGCATCCCATAGTCAGTTGCATTTTGTAGAGATGCATTTACAGTTGTTTACGTTGCTTTAGTGCAAAAGAGCTCCGTAAAAAGTGATTGGAAATAATAGTTCAATTTTCCAAAACATGGGAAACAAACTAAAACCATGTTAAAAAATGGATTTTTGGTAATTGCTGCCAACTTTTCAGCTCACTGTTCTCTGGTCTGTTTAGGAAAATGAACTGAGTGTTGTCTATAATGCCCAGCTTGATGCATAAAAAGCATGAGTGGACGTGTGAAAGCTTTAAAGAAATAAATGTAAACATCATTTAGACGAGGACAGGGCTGGAAGCAGACAGATCACACAGGGGATGGGAGGGGGCTTAGACTGTCAAAGGGTGAGAGCCAAAGCTACAGCCACGTTTGACAGACAGCTGGGTGGGAAGTCATTGCCAGAGAAAGATGTGGAAATGCTTTAGCAGATGCACTTTATATGTTTGGCAAATTAATTTTACTGATTACTATTTATTTGGTGTAATCAGAAGTGTGTCTGTTCTTGCCTGAGGCTGGGAAGGAATTTAAAAGCATTATTAGTGTAAGCTTAACAACACTTTCATCCTATACATAAATATTACCCTGTTTTCATGGATAAAAGCTCTCAAGACTGGCTGAACACTGTTCTTACTGATTTCATTATGCCACGAGTGAGGCTTTTTGGAAACTGCATCCCAGATGATTTCTCACAGCTTTCCCAAGATTTACAGATCCCATGACAGCTTAAGAATCCTATCGGGCAGCTTGTTAAGGACCTCCAGAGGTTTTGCAAGTTTAATTTCTGGAGCAAAACGAGGATGTTTGCTTATTATCTTCCAATTTAAGTGTTGGCTCTTCCTAGCTCTTCTTGCATTGTGCTCCTCCTGCAGCAGGGTCAGAGCACAGCTCCTCAAGTCTCTGCTGCCCAAGGTGCCAAGTGCTGGCTCTGATAAACTGTTCTGCACTGCCTGAGATTCTGAAAGGCTGAGATTTGTTCCAAATGCAAATTTGTACAAAACAGGTCTTATTCTCCTGAGCACAACTCTCCATCTCTCCTCCCAGGCACATGCTCAGAATGGTGCTTGGGGAAAGGAGGGATGCTTTGTATGGAGCTTGCTAATTATGAAACAGATTTCATCAGCCATCTTTGCAAATTGGCCTTAAAATTACCAGAACCCCAAAGCAGCATTAAAAGTGCCTTGTAACAGCAGTAATGAATGAGTTTCAGTGCAGCAGGAAGTGGGTAACACTGAGACACGTGCAGTGTGTGGGGCTTTGTGGGAATCTGGTGCTAATAGTGGGGGTTTCCTCCATACCACAACTCAAAATCAGAGATGATGGGCAGGGGCTTGGAATTTTTGTGTAAGTGCAATGTAAAGTGCCTCTGTTTCAATCACAGTCTCTTTAAGACTTTGCTGAGAAAAGCCATCCTCCAGTTTATGCATAGTCCTGACATTCATGCAAAAAAAATTGCTCTGCATATTTCTGTTTTCTTTTAAAACATTAGTTCTTTCTAAATGGTCATGACCTGCCATGAAGGAGCTGCTTTGATGTTTTGTTGTAAAGTCAAAGTCTTCCTTTAGGCTTGAAACAGGCACAGACTGGTGCTCAGCTGTGCCATAGGCATGCAGGAATGTTGCTTTTATTCTGATTACCTTCCCTAAAAATAAAACCCAGTTATTTATTTAGTACAAAATGCTGCCCTATTTTTATAGCCAATGATAAATTGCATTTCCAGAGGTTCTTGTTGCTTCTCTGAGTGCCTCCACACAATGCTCCAAGTGCTGCAGGTTAGATTTGAAGGCAGGGTGAGGAATGCCTGAGAAATGAGGGAGCACAGCCCACTCCAAACCCTCCAAGGGCTGCAGGTGGAAATGTTCTGCTCCATGGTGTGCTGGGAGCTGGAAACAACAGCAGCCTCCTTTCCCTTCATTTAGGAGTAATTTTTTTAGGCAATGTCTGCCTGGCTTTTGTGGAGGGTCTCTCTGGATCCCAGCCTTTCCATTTTCTGAACATTAGGGACAACTGGGCTATTTTAGGTTCTGTCAGTGGCAGGAACAGTGTTAGTGCAGGATTTCTTTGTCTTTGGTGCTGAAAGAGGCCGGTATGAGTTGTCCTGGCCCAGAAAGGGCAGCAGAGTGAGAGACACAGTGGAGTTTCTATTACAGCCTAGACATGAACATCAGAACTGACCTCTGGCACATGGGAGAAGGGTGATCTCTCCTTGGCTTTCCCCATTAACTTTTTTCAGACCAACTGCTGCTGGTTTCCTCTCAGGAAGGAGATGTCAGCAGTAATCCCTGCCCTTTCTGAACCTCTATTTAAAGAGCAGAGGTTTCCAGAGCTGCTTGGTCAGCCCCCCTGCCCATCCTCTGGAGCTGGGATCAGGGATGAGCCAGGACAATCCCCCAGGCTTGGCTGCTGTGGCTCTCCCACCTCCACTTTCTGTGGGATGTCCAAACCAGGCCATGCATGCTTTGAATTTAGGTCTATTTTAGTACTGAAGTGCCCATTTAGAGTTGTAATTTACTTCTGTCTTCCAAGAACAGTAGATGTTTGCTTTCCAGCTGCTTCCTGTCCATCAGAACAAAATGTTTTTTAAGTAGGGATAGGGTAGAGTTTTTTTGTTGTTTTTTGGAGGTGCTGGTTTAAACTTTTTTTTTTTTCTTTCCAATATGTTTTTCAAGGAGGTCATGTTCACTTGCTTGCTACATGTTGGGTTTTTGCTTTGAGGGGAGTGTTTGGCTCTTGAATTCCAGACCAAATATACCAAGTTTTAGCACTTCATGGTGTTTCAGCCATCAGTAACTTCCTCAGTTAAGCTGGAAACTGCACTCCTGCTTGCAAAACTTTGTTTGCATAATGTAGCTACACATGCAAAATTATTTCTAATATACATGTGCATATTCATGTGTGTAAATATTTATATGTGCATGCACACATATGATACAGGTATCATTAAGATTTCTTCCTCTGATTACCATCAATTCACTGCCACTCCCTGAAAAATAAATAAATAAATAAATAAATAAATAAATAAATAAATAAATTTTAATAAATGTGCCATTTCTTTTGTCCTTTTGCTACAAAAATGGATAGAATATAGAACCAGGCAGGATTTTTCCTCCAGGTTGGTTAACATAAACTTTACAGAAAGAAAGATTATTTTAAGTTTCAAATTTCTTGTTTCACCACTCTTGAATTAGGTAGAATTTCACTTTATCTACTCAGATGCCCTTTCCCAAAGAGTTCTTGTAGAATTCCTTTCCACTGCCCCTGTGTGAACTGAGCCAGGTGGGAAGAACAAAAATAACTCACTCTTTAATTTTTCTTTTCTTCTGTCTGGTCTATCCAGGTTGCATCCATTATCTGCCCCTTTGGGAAGTGGGAATGAATTGTGGGGCTCTCCTACTGTTCACATCCTGACCTTCAGCACATTTCTGTGTCTCTAATGAGGTTTAAAGCTAATTTTCCTCTTGGAATTTCTTTCTTCAAGTTGTGTCCTGAGTTCTGGATGCAAAAGGAGGACAGGGCCTGACATCCACAGCTGGGCAGCTGCTCTGGATCTGAACACATCTTGCTCTTCTTTTGTACAACAGAAGTTGAACAGGGTGTCTGCTTAATACAAGGCATGAAAGTGCATTAGCAGTGTGCATTTGCAGCTTTGTCAAAGCAGGGATGAAAGAACTGGCAGGTCATCTGAACACACATGGTAAACCCTGAGGAAAAGCATTTAATCTAATTTTCCCCATAATTCAGAATTGCCTGTGCTTGGAACAAGATGATAATTTTAAATAGGCATCAGTTCTCTTTTAGTGTGGATTTTCTCAATGCTCTTTCCTTTGTTTCTGGTTTTTATGGTAATTCTTTCCAGTGCAGACAGGGCAACTCCCCTTCCCTGAGAGGAATAGTTCAAGCACTGCCATGTACTTTAGTCCTGTGCCCTGAGTGAGTCCTCCCTGCCAGTCAGTTCAGGTAAAGGATCTCTGTTGTGGCTCTGGCTGGGGATGGGCCAGTCCTGAAATGTCACATTTAATTAATAAATTACTTTGGGAAAGGATGGCAAGGATGCTGGCAAGGCAGGGCTTCTAAAGAAAGACTGAAGGCAGCCCATGAGAGAGAAAGTGGATAAATAAAATGGATCCTGGTCTCCAAAGAGCTGAACAAGAGTCATTCCTGTCAGAGGCACAGGAAAAGGCCCAGTGAGAGTCAGTGCTTACAGGCAGAAACAATTCTCACTTGGATTTAGAGACCTATTGAACTCTTAATTACTTCCAGCCTTTAAATCAAGACAGGATCAATTCATAAACTGGGATATGTGGACTTGATGCAGATGTCCTTAGCCAGCATCTTTAACAATTTATGCAAGAGACAATTACTTTCTTCTGCCTCTAAAAAGTGTATGATAAAATTAAGGTCATTCTACAGGACAAGGGATTGCTAGGTTTTTTTATTTTTTAATTTTGCATCCTCTTCTGTGGTTAGGGCTCTGTTATCTGTGAGCTCTAGTCCCTTCATGGGGAAGTAATTTGTGTTTTCCACTGTTCCTTTGTAATCTGACTGATTCTGCATGACCTGGCTGAGGGTGTCATGTCCTATTAGAGGAGTGGAGACCAAAATACAGGATCTTGGCTATGGAAAATTTTCCTAACGTGACTTTGTCACTTTTCACAAATGGAATCACAAGTTTTTGAGAAAAATGTGAAGTGGCTAGAGATGGACTGGGAAGGTAGGATGGGTGACTGTGACCTTCGATACTGATGTGGATTGCTGATGGTTTAGGAAACAAAATAACTTTGATTATGGAATAAACCAGATATCCCAGGTTACACCATGGTCCTTGATTGGAAGGCTAATGGTGTTGAGCAACTTTAAATTTCATTCTCCCCAGCAGCAAAGCAAAATACAGCCTGAGGAGCAACAGCAAAGTGTCTTGTGGGCAAAGCTGATAGTCCAGCACTGCTGGGGATGGAGCAGAGAGGGCAGAGCTTCCTTCCCTCTGCACCTGCCAACAGGAAAACTCCAGAGCAGGAAGGGTGTCTGAGCCAGGCACTGGCCAGTGCCTCTGGCTGCTTTGTTTTGTGCTGCCCTGGGCATTAACTGAGCAGCACAAGACAGATGGGCAGGTTCTTGTTTCAGCTTCCTGACCCGTTTTTGTTTGTTTCCCCTCCTTTGCAGTACGTGGTCATCCCGACGCGCCGTGCCACCGCCGTGGCCTTGCAGAGCTTCACTTCACACCTCCTGGGAGATGCTGGCAGTCCTTATCTCATTGGATTTGTAAGTGCTCACAGCAGGCTCTGGCAGGCTTTGCTTTTGTTTCTGAACTGCTCATCTGAAATGCCAAGTTAGATCCTGCTGGGAAGGAAGGCCTGTGTTTGTCAGCAGAATGGGAAGTGCTGCAGAGCTGTGCAACTCCTTTTACCTGGTTGGGTTTTTGTGAGCTGCAGTTCAAGCCAGGGGGGAGCACCTGGCTGTGGGGAATAAGCTTCCACATCTCTTTAGCCTAGGGTGTTTATAAAGCTCACAGACAGCTCTGAAAAGAGAGAGTGTTCTTGTGGTGTGGGCATGGGGCCGATAGAAATGAGGCTGGAAGAGAGGCATGTGTGTGTGTGTTTAGCTGTTAATTGACCTCAGAAACCAAATACCTGTTTATGGGCAGCACCACACAGCTGTACCTGGTTTGTATGATAGTAAATCATAGAACCACACATTGTTCTGAGCTGGAAGGAACCCACAGGGATCATCCAGTCCAGCCCCTGGCCCTGCACAGAGCCCCCAACAATCCCACCCTGTGCATCCCTGGAGCAGTGTCCAACCAGGTGTTTTTATTAGTATTTTTATTAGTTTTATTAATTTTTATTTTTATTAGTTTTAATTTTTTTTTTTTTAATTAATATTCCTTCCTGGGGTGCTCACTTTGTGTTCCCTTCTGTGACTGCTTCAGTGTCTGACCTTGATCTGACTGGGGATCTCCCTTCCAGTGCCACCATTATCCTACTGCAGAACAGAACAAGAGACCCAGCTCTGGGTCAGAGCACTCAGGGTCTGGCAGTCAGAGAACATTCACGGTTGAAAATAAAAGGCCTGGGAAATGTAATGAGGAAAAGAAATCTGGATATACTGGGAAAATGTCTTTTTCCTTCAGTGGAGTTTGAGATCACAGATCATCATTTATAAAATACAGTAGCTTCCACAGAAATCCCTAAGTGACCCTGCTCCTGATGTGTTGAAAGTGCTGCTACCCAGGAGTGTAACTGGGATTTTCACTGCTCCCATCAGCTGAGATACAGGACTTTGTTGTGCTCCTCCAGCTCAGACACAGCTGCTGGGTGCTGTGGGGCTTTTTTATTTTTTACAACCATCATTGCTCATCTATTCATGCTGTAGACACCAGTGTGTGTAGCTACACATATTTATTTTTATATATTTAATTCTGTGAGTATATCTATTTAATTATACATAAATGTTTACTTTTGAGTGGCAATGCTATGACTGCTCTGTAGCCCTCTGAAGCACACAGGAAAAGGCAGATAGAGATAAGACTGAGAAGACCAAAGAAATGAGAAGTCTCTCAAGAGAATAAAAATGCACAGTTTAGCTTAACTCTTTATTTACTTCAATGTTCTGGGTACCTGGGGAGAAACGATTTTATTGTAGAAGTTATTTGAAGGTGGCAAGAACAAAGGAATTGCAGGAGAGGCAGGGAATGTGGGAGAGGAGCAGGGGACAGCAGGACAGGGGCTGGAGATGAGGGCAGGGCTGGGGCAGGCCAGGCTGCCTCAGTGACTGCTGCAGGTCCATCCATTTCCTTACATGAGAGGGATGTCCAGCAGCAATACCTAGGGCCCTGAATGATTGCAATTATTCTTGAAAGCTGCCTGGAGCTCTTCAATGTCATATATTAAAAATAAAAGGCTGTAGAAATAATGTGCCTTTCCCTCCTGGTATTCAGAGATGAAGCAAGTTGTGAGTTACTTAAGGATTCTTGGCTGAAATATGTATAGCCCCAGTTTAATAGCTGCATTAGGCTTTCTTGAGTCTGGGAAAATATTCGTTATTATTTTGAATTATCCTTTTCTAATGCTGTAATTGTTGGGCAGTTGTGATTTGAGAGGAGGTGATGCAGGTCCAAGGCTCTGTGCAGAGGAGGAGGAGTGAAGCACTCATGTCATGGCAGGAGCCAGCTTCCCTTTGTGCAGCCTCTTCTCTGGCTGGCCTGATTCATCCTTCCTCTGCTGCCAGGACTGAAAGGTCAACCACAGCTCCCCATAACACAGGATAACAAATGTTATTTAAAGAGAAAGGACAGCCAGCTTCTGCACCAGAGCTAGGGCAGGCACTGAACCTGGGTATTAAAATCCACAGGAATTGTCCAGCTGCAGTGCAGGATGGAAACCTTCATGCAGCATTGGAACCCCACCTGGGCAGGGTGCAGAAGGGGCTCAGATTCCAACCAGGATTTTCCAGGCAGTCTGTGAGGGCTGAGTAACTTACTCCTGCTGGATTGAAGGGAAATCTGGGAACCTGATTCCAACATTCCTTCTGGGAATCCCCACCCTGAGGACATCAACTCCCACTGCTGTGACTCCAGACTCTGCCCCAGGCAGACCGAGAGCAGGGGTGGGTTTTGAAGGAGAGCAGCAGGAGGCCCTGGAGGTGTCCAGGGAATGATTGGACCTGGCACTCGGTGCTCTGGCTGCTTTACAAGGTGATGTTCAGTCACAGGTTGGATTTGATCATCTCAGAGGTCTTTTCCAACCTTAATGGTTCTGTGATTCTGTGAGCTGCAGTAACAGGCAGGTGAAACTCAGCCCCTGGTCACTTGGGTTCACCTGGGATCCTGGAGCTCTGCTGTGTCTTCCAGCTGCTTACAGAATTGCCCTGAAGTCCCCTCACTAAATGATCCGTGCTTTGATCAAACGTGGCTGGAACCCTTCATGGTTTTGGTGAGTTTCTAGTGAGATTCCCTCTAGCAATGTCCTTAATAAAGAATTGGTGACCTTGTCCTTGTAGGACTGAGCTGTGGCAGGCAGTTGTCTCTGCTGGATACCAATAAATATTGTATTGATCTTAAATTCCCCACGTGCAATAGAGAAGGTGCTGATCAGCCACAGCCTCAGGTGTGCAATTGCTGCCATGCTCTGTGCTGTGTCCTGAGAGCTCAAGGGCACACTCAGATTTTCTGTAACTTCACCCCATTCCAAATCTTGCTCTGCAGCTCCTTAAACCACCCAAAGCAGAAAATACACATTAGTGCTTAAAAGCTAAGTGGCAGGGAGCACATATGTGTGGCTATTTTTCATGTCTCTTTAAATATTGATAACTTTTATTATGGTAAAAAGGCTTAAGATTGACTTACAAAGGAGTTATGCAAATGCAGCTTTAGGGTGGCAGCTGTAATTTGCATAAAGCTTTACTGCATGGCAAGCTCTGAGATCAATTACTGTAAATCAGCACTGCATGTTCATTTCCAAATGAGAACAGGCATTGCTGCAGTATTTCAGCAGATGAGACAGCTTTTATTCCTAGAGAGCTGAAACTTTTTTCAAGATCTTTATGATAACCAACCTGTAGAGTTTAAATAACTCCTATTTAACAACTCTAGTGTCACTCCACCTTTTATTCTTGAGGCAGTCAAGTGAGAGTGCACCTGCTGAGTGCATTACAGCCAAACGTGGAGTACTTTTCTGTCTTTGACCACTCCCACTATGCAGACACAATTGCTGGAGCATAGAAGTGTTAAGAGAAATGCCCCAAATCCCACCATTAACGTTGAGTATCAGATAAAGGTCTTCAACTGCTGCCCTAGACAGTATTTCAGATTCAGAAGAGCAAGTGGATGGGGGTGGTAGCAGCATGTGAAATAGTTAACTCTTCTCAGGCTGCATCACAACTCCAGCTCTTTGTATCACTAATTCTGCTTTGATCTTGGCTGCCCTTTAAAATAAAGCAACTTCAAGTCCATGCTCCTGTGTCCATCTGTGCACAGGTATGAACCTGTTTCCCCTGCTCAGGGTTTACATCATCCTCTTGTTGTGTCCCTCTCCACTTCCTGACTGCTCTTCTGCTTCTGGAAATCTGAACACAGGCAAAAGGGGGTTTTATCTCAAGGCTATGGCTTGGGACTTTTTCTTTCCTTCCTCCAAGTTTGTAATTTTCTTTCTACCTGAGCACCTTCCTCTTCCACCCTGGCCTTGCCAACAGGACCTGCTGCAGGCACTGCTGTCCCTCCATGTGCTGAGCTGCTGCTGCCTTCTTTCCTGTCTGCTTAAACTCTCCCTCCTCTTCTCTGTGCAGCTGTTCACAGGTCTGAGGATGAAAACCAGTCTGTATCTCCTGGTCACACCCGTGAGGAGGATGTTCTAAACTGTCAGAGATAGCTCAACCTGCTCCCTGCACTCCTCTGATGGTGGTTTCCATCTTTCCTGCCCTCCTGGGCTGTTTCAGCTTTACTGGAGTCACTCCATGCCAGCTGGGCTGTGGGAGCCCTGGCATCCTTCACTTTTCTTCCTTCCCCAGCTTTCCTGTGAGCAGGTTGATAAATCTAATGAGCTATTTAAGCAGCACGAATACTAATGACCTTCCTTAGCAAGTAGTTAGCAGAGCAGTGTTAATTATCCCTGGTGCAGATTATCAGGGCAGGCAGATCAGCATTTCATTAGGGGCAAGGCAAGAAAAACTGTAGTAAATGCAGCAATTAAGATACTTTTTAATGGAAGCTGTAACTGGAGGTAGAGATTTCACAGCATCTTGGCCCAGTTTGAAACAGCCTTTTTGTTGATTTGGTTTGAAGGTGTTGACCTAACCAAGTATATCTGCATTGAAAGTAGCTCTATGTGTAAAGACTTGCCTGCCTGAGAAAGCAGAATTCATGTTTTATGGTTTAAAATTCATATTTCATGTTTTAAAATGCTATGGCTGCTTCAGAGTAGGACATGGTTACTCTGGAAGAACACTTTATCCAGTTTAGTTTGCTAGACTAAAACTCCCATTGGGAGTCAAATCCACTTCTGTCTGACTGAAAAGCAGGGTATTGCAATAAAGTGGATTGTTGGGATGTGATGCTGCAGTCTGGGTGTTCTGTCCCTGTCTGACCCAAGCAGCCATTCCTCAAATATGGCCCTTGCTGCTGGTTACAGTCCTGTCTCTCCTGCCAAAGCAGGGTAAGGGATGAACTCAAGGTCAAAAAGGCAGTAATTTCCTGTAAAAAAAAAAAAAAAAAAAAGTGCAAAATGCTCTCCTGGCATCACTCTCTGTTTCATGGACCATCAGGAGAT